GCTGTGCCTGTTCCTATTAAGCTGTGCCTGTTCCTAATAAGGTGTGCCTGTTCCTAATAAGCTGTGCCTGTTCCTAATAAGCTGTTCCTGTTCCTAATAAGCTGTGCCTGCTCCTAATAAGGTGTGCCTGTTCCTAATAAGCTGTGCCTGTCCCCATTTCGAGGTCTGGCTTTTTGTTGTGCCTGTTCCTATTTGGAACTGGATTTTGACCCTTATCCCACTTTATACATAATGCTCACCCCCTGTCGCACTGCCAATGATAACCTGCTCGCAAGCCATTACATTGAACGCTTCAAGTTCCTATTTGATTTCCTGATACACGTATTATTTCCATGACCCCAGAGGTCCGAGTCCATGCGTCACTATTTTATTTCTTACCATTGATTCTCCATTGTCTGATATTCTATTGGACTCCACAACACCAGGGTTAGAATATAAATTCCTGTGAACAAATGAAGCGAGACCACAAAAGATTCAGTCATACTACACATTGATATGTCACAGATTAATGAAATAAAATCAGCAACTTTGGCTGAAAGGGGGAGGGAAAGGGGGAGGGGAAGGGGGGAGGAGAGCAACATCAGGCACATCTAGGAATTTTTGATGAAGAGGGGTCCAACCTTTGATAATGAAAAACCAGAATTTTACACTAGAACCAAGAAACATTTCAAGACAAGCACATTATAAGTACTTGTATATGACTTTTAATATGTGAACCTGCAGTTAAAAGAATATTGGCTTTAGACAAGTAGTAAATAAATCAACAATGTCTAATGACTGGGGGTATATATGAGTTCCCTGGACCCCCGTCCCCCTCACCTCCCCCCACACCCCACTGAACCACCACCTTTAAACCTTCTACAAGTTTCTTCAATTACTAACGCATAAGAAAAGACCGATGAGCAGCTTAAGACTCAACAATAATCATAAACAGAGAAGGTGAAACAAATTAAGGAAACTATCTTGTCTCACTCACCTCAATGATACAAAAGTGACTGCTAAAAGAAGAACTGAGAGCAAAGTCCAAAGAAAATCAGGCCACAGTTGTGAATAACGTTAAGGAGATATTCTCTTGGACTAAGCTAAAAAGCCAAGTGGGAGCTGGCCTTATTTTCACTACTGCTTAAGTGGAGTTCATTATCGTGAAGATCGCTCTCATACTCTTGAGTACATTTATCATCAAAAGCACAAGACAAAGCAAGATACTTAAGAGTACAAATGAATAAAGGCTAATAGTTTCGAAAGAAACTGTTTGGGGCTGCGTTGGTGGGAGTAACGAAATAATTTGGATATATCAACAAAGTTGAAGTGGTAAATTGGTCACCGTAACGATTATAAAAGCTGACCTTTCAAGTGTTAGCCCTTCGTCGGAGNAGAGCATTTTGATTGTATGATTTTAGTTATTGGCCCTCTGACTGCCCGAGTCATGTAATAAGACAAGTTGTTGAATACAAAAATCTGTATAAGACAAATTCAAATCTGCACTGATTTCTAAAATTCAACCTCAGTGCAATTGAAGTCATCAGAGAAATGACCATCTGAAATTACTGTTCATATTTACAGAGAAGTTTGTAATGAAGGTTTGACTTCATGGTCCAGTGACTTCACCACTCAAATGCTCTACCACTGAGCTGAAGGAACTGGAACCAAGATAAGCCTTACACAACCATGTGAGGTTTACAACTGGTAACTAGCTTCTATTTCTTTCTTAATCAACAAATTAGTACTGAATTCTTAAAGGATATGTGGCATAATATAAGAAAAATAGCAGAGGAGGCTTTGTAGTATGGACCCAAAGAAAAACCCTGCCAGAGCAGGACTTGGAAGAGCTGAGATGTGTTGCAATCTGTGTTTGGAGAATGACCAGATATTAAAAAAAATTGTGATTGCCAGTGTTGACAATACTGCAAACAGCTGTGAGAGCTGATAGAAAAAAAAGGCAATAAGAAATATTCCACAAGAGGGCGACAGGAGAAGTAGGAGCCATGGCATCCAGGGATTGGGTGGACGACTGCGAGGGCAGCGACTGGCTTGCCAGTACTTCAAGTGTCTCTTCAGCCAGAGGTGTCTACAATAATGGGAAAAAAAAGGAAAATGTCCACTTACCATAAGTGAAGGTTATCAAGAGGGTTATAGCTGCACCTTTATCTACTCCACATCCAAGCTCAAAATTTACCATCTTTTTTACTTGAATTCATCACATGAGGTTTAGGTTTACAACACAAAACAAGACAACAAGAAGATACATGACATTTCACTCCATTCCACCACCTATTCAAAATTTACCACCTTCCCTATCCAACTGTACCACTAACAATAACTCAGTGACTTTTTCCCAGGTTGCACTGGTCCTAGCACCTTGCAGGATGCAGGTCAATGATGAACCTAAATACAGCAATAGCCCTACCTGCCATATAGCTTTCCATGAGACAGTGGGTGCAGCTTATTTTAGGGTTTTTACGGTATTTCTAAGTGAATGAGTAACAGTGAGGATTTGAGGGACTTGTTGAGAGACAGTCAAAAATTCAATGACTTCTCTGAATAAAAGACATTTAGGACAAAACAACAACAAACATCATAATTATTGTGTCCTCATATAATTTCATCTGAACAGCTTACAGGATCATTTTGGGTTGTGCTTTATGTCATCTTTAATCAGTAAAGCTAAATATGATGACTGGAAAAGAAATTTCAGTCCTTTAGTACCTTGGAGTTTCTAGATCACTAGCATAGTCCACAGGAGTTTTCCCCATCACATCTGGTTCATTGATCATTGATAATGTGCTTTTGCTCTCCAAAATCCATGCAACTTCACTGCATAAAACAATCACCGAAGAGATAAAAAAGTCAATTCAAAAAGATTAGATATTAAATCACTTTTAATTTAAAGTTTTACTGTGGTTAAACAGTTTGTGGAGCCTCTAAAATACAACACAGCCTTAATCTGTCAAAAAAGCTAATACCCGGGACTGTGTGGATATTCATCTGATGTTGACTAAATAGTCATGTACATGTAATATCTACAATTGTATACAAACATGTTATTCAATGATTTAACATAAAATACAGTGGAACCTTGATTTAACAAAACTCTGCATAACGATGTCCTCAGGATAATGAACGATACTTCAGTTTCAGCCCGGCTAAAGTTAAAGTAAAATGTATGCACCAGAACCTTGAAATAACGAACCAATTTCCTCAGTCCCTTGACACTTCATTAAATCAAAGTTCCACTGTACATGGGTCAGACAAGGTGGAATACAAGTGGATATGAAGCAAGTTACATTCTGATGAAAATAAGCCACAAGCTGTTCTATTTAAACTTTTACAAAACACAAGCCAAAGGAGATGTTACCATTGATGTTTTTTACATCCATTTTGTTTTACTAGATAAAATTGGTTAAGAACATGTATTTTTTAGGCATCCTAAAATAAGGATGTTTACCAAAAACATTGCTGCAAGAACTTAAAATAATTATTGTGTAATACAATGTCATATACTGACTTACTGACTTACCAGTGAGCATGCTTGGCAGCTAAGTGAAGGGGTGTAGAATTTCCATTGTCTCGCACATCAGTTGGAAACCTCTGCACAAATATAATAATTAACTGTGTCTTACTTGTACATCCGAAAATTATATCAAAGAAGAAGAAATTTAAATAATGAACTTAAACGTCTGCCTTTGGTTCTATTTGAAAGCTAAATAAAGCAACATCTGTTTCCTGATTGGCTGTCACATTCAGCCAATGTTGATAGAAATTTTCTGTTTGTATATTTAATATACAAGTATGCATATATAAGCAAAGTAGTTTATTTTTCAATCAATCTAGTAATTTACAGAATGTCAAACCTGATGACGAAGTAGATATTCTATGGCTTCAACCTGACTGTTCTCTGCAGCTACATGAAGTGCAGTAAGACCTCTGATGAAAAAAAAAAAAAAAAAAAAAAAAAACTTAATATAGTTGAGAAAAATTATACTAACAGCAAAAAGCAGAAATGATATAAGATAGGATAACAATTTCCTCTTGATAAGTTTGAGCATTCTCAGTTCCCATTTGTTAAATAATATAGGGATAGTATAAGGAGAAGTTATATGTTAATCACTTCTGGGAGTTGGAGGGTTAACAAAGGCATGAGCTAAAGAGTTCTATCCCTATATCTAGACCTTGAGCCAATTCCCAGCCTTTGCTCCATATATATATAATTATATATATATATATAATATATAAAATTACTGAGAGAATTCTGCAAATAAGTCAAAATTCTTTCATTTACTCTCCATGCCCTGAAACCTTTTTCATTGTGATTTGGCCCCATCATGCCATGTAATTCTCCTCTTACCTGACAGTCTATCCTCGTATTAATATTTCCTTATAACTCTTTAAACCCTAAGACTTTCAGATCACCCTTTAATTTCTCCTTACCGCAATGCAATTATTTTGAATAATTATAAGAAAATCATATATGTGAACTGGAAAAAAAATTCAGGCTCAGTTGGCTTGTTAGCTCAGTTGGTAGAGCACTGCAAAAGTATCGCAAGGGTCATGGGTTCAAATCCTGTACAGGTCTTATTTTTTTTTTTCAGGCCTCACTTCCACCACTACATAAGTAGGGTTTATTACTGTGAGGATTGCTTTGATTCATGCCTCCATGAGCAGTTTTTACTCAGGTTTACCTGTTATCTCTTTTCTTTAAACTCAAACCACAGGCTGTCAAGTAATGCAACTTCAATCTGACAAAAAAAAAAAAAAAGATGATAGTGATTAAGTAATGCCCATAATAAACAAATGTGATATCAGAAAAAAACAATATGGAAATTCTACCAGTCTGACAGTTTTTAGTTGCAAAAGATTACATGATAGGCTGGGAGTTACTGACGGCTGTTCAGGAAATAAGCCTGAAAGAGCAGATTCCAAAAAGTTGTTGAAACTGAGCCTGAATATAATTTATTACACGACTCGGGCAGTCAGGGGCCAATAAGTAAAATCAACCAATCAAAATGCTCTATTGCCGGTCAATATTCTCTCAGTATTGGACCAGGCATTGTCCCGAATGGTCCCGAATGATCCCGAATGATACCGCACTAATGTGTCCCTTTGAACTTCA